TTATTTTTTTCATTTTGGTTTAATTATTTGTTGATTCTTGTTATTTCCTGTTCCTGATTGACACCTGTCAATACTGATGTAAAGAAATAACACTGCTATAATGTTGCATAATTTACAAACCTCCCTCTATCCTGCCCCAGTAGAGGTTTGAGTTAGTCATCAAATTCTTCCTGTGAATGATTATCATCATACAGGGTCTTGGGTTCAAATTGATATGGCAAAATCAAAACTATTGTTACTTTTCTACTGTGTTTATGCTGCAATTTCATTCATGGTAAAGAACATTTACAACAACAAGGGACTAAGCTGAAAAGAAAATCAATAAATGAATGAATAATCACAACAGACTGGGCCATCTGACCAATCAGAGGAGAGCAGACTCTTAAAGATGAGGATTTTAAACCCCAGTAATCACTTTTTATCAAGTGCTTTTACTTAAATAGTTAAACAATTATGTGGATTTTTATTATTACTGTTAATGCATAAAAATAAATTATGATAATCAACATAATAAAAAATAATAATTAATACTGTTGATTTAGCATGTTTGTCCATTGGTTATTATTAAAACAAAACACTCCAAATTTGCAATAATACTGTCTGTAACACTTTTTTTTCTTTTTTACAGTGCAAGTCAAAGAGTTAAAATGCAAAGGTGAAAAATAAAATTCACCATATATACATCTAGTAAATCTTAACGAGAGGATTTACTGAGCAGGACAATAGTTTTGCACATAGTAAAAGTTTACATGATAGGTGTCAATAGGTGTTCCTGGAGAGCCGCAGCTCTGCACAGAAAATGCACAGGTTGCTTTTTTTCAACTGTGGCTGCATGCATTGAAGTAGCCTTCAATGAAATATGGTGTGTCTTCCACCAAGGCACCACAGGGCGCTAAAATAAACGTAACTTGGTAAACTGGCAGTGGGCTGGTTATACAGAGCAAAAAAAGACAGAACTTCAGACTTGTTTTTTTTCCAACATATTTTTTTCAGATATAAACAACTGTGATCACATATGTTCCTAAATATCTGCAAACATACAGTATTTTATGCTAAAAGAGTGAAAAATCTACATACAGCACAATTAAAGCAGGGTTGGATTTAAACTAAAAATGATAGGATCATTAATCATAACAACATATGTTTTTAGTCTATTGTAACTAGTTAAACTAAGTTAGTCATGTTCTAAATTAGTTTGATTAGTTACACAAGCTGTTTGAAATCAGTTTAACATAAGGTTATTTCAATGGACTCATACGTTTACTTTGATTCAGCTTAAAAGTTTAAGGCAACCAAGTTTTTTTTTTTTTTACAGTGTAGGACATCCATGGTCTACATTACAATGTATTTTTCTAACAAATATTGTAAAAAAATAAAATGACCATGACCATTACTATTACCACACAGCCACAGTCTAGGCAGATTGTTCTATATTAGAATATGTCAAAGGCATCTTCTAATGTGAGCTTCTGCTTCTTAATGTTACGAATCTTAAAATAAGTTTCTCCCTGACAGCATATATGGAATAAATTTTCCATTTTAAGACTGTACTTTAATATCTAACATCCTGTGCACAGAGCCTGAAAAGTCGCTGCTGGAATGACATTAAAAAGACAAACAGTGCAGTTGTCTTTCCCAAAACTCTCTCGTGACACACTAATATGTCAATAAACTCAGCAGAAACGCAGATGGCAAGGCATCATGGGAATAACTGACATTTTAAAGATGTGGTAATAGTGATGTTGATATACAGAAGTTAATATATAGACCATAAACCGGCTTTATGTGCTAAATGATGCATATGAAGCCCCATGTTTTTTGTTGATGGATATCTTTGTTATGTGCATGACGTGAAATGGCTTTTTGCCTTTGCAATGTAAACATTTCCCAAGCTTCATTCTTCCTCGCGGAAAATCTTTTAATTAAAAACATCAACATGTCATATGCATGAATTAAAGATGAATTATAAGTTTAGTGTGGATGCTGTGGGTTGTAAGCGATCATACCAACTATCAGCTCTTGATTTCTGTGAACTTTGGCAAAAAAAATCTGAAACGATTATGTTGCGCTTCCCATGGAAAATATTCCATAAACAATTGACATATGCCTATTTTAGCCTGTGCTATTCACAAATATTTGCCTGGGGAAATAATTGTCTGAGAGAGAGTTTACATTTTCAGCAATCACCGAGACATGGAGACCTCTTTCTAAAAAAAAAACCCCTGTATTTTTCCACAGTATAAATACTACAATACCAAGGGAGCTGTGTGTTTTATGAATAAATGTTAACGAAAAATCAAAAGGTAATTTAGGAATCTTTCACATGTAAGATCAATTCTATCTATAAAACTTTTATAATTTATATTATAAGAATAATTTAAAGGTGTATTTATAGCTCTTTAAGCTGTGTTCTCTAAACGCACAGGAATAAGAAATGATTCTTCTACAAAATAACCACTAGATGGTGATAAAGACTTTAAATATGAAGCTTTCATTCTATGGTGGTTTTAGTGACTTTTATTCGTAGTGTTTTCTGAGAATCTGTTCATGTTCCAGTTATGTACTTGTGTTTTGACTAGGGAAAGGGACTAGGGTGGTTTTAAGGAAATACATTTTTTTCATGAAAAGATGAGGAAGCCATTAGTATTGTAGGACTAGTCTGGTCTCAAGGCTGTTTTTCCTCAAGGCTGTTTTTTTCTCAAGTCTAAGTCTTGTTCTCATACTTAAAGGAGGATTTTTATGTGTACATTTATTCATTTAGCAGAAACTTTCATCCAAAGTGACTTACGATGAAAGAAGCACTTCAAATTAGCAGAGAGAGGCTAAAAGTAATATAGCAGTTATATTGCTTGTAATTGAGTGTTTGTAGAAAAGTGTCTGGTGGAGGAAAAAAAAAGGTTTATAGTGAAGTAAAGTGGTTTACATGTGGTTTATAAAGCGCGCACACTTGCATAAGCAGCACAATACCAACCCAACACAAAAGCTAAATTTGCACTATTAATTTTCAGGTCAAGGTACACTGTTTGGAACTGTCTGACTATTGAAATAAAAAGGCAAACAGATTTGAACATATTGCAAAGAGTGTTCAAATAGTGGTTCAAAATGAATCAGCTTTGTGGACACTGCATACTTCTTAAAATATTATTATTATTTATTTCTACTGGTATTTTGTGTTTGGTAATGTGTCTTAATATGTATTTTATAAAGAAATGTTTACTGGTTTAGTGTGCAAAAAGGGACTAACCAGGTTTAGTGTACAAAAAGGGCCTAACCAGGGACTAAGGCTGCAAGTTAATCATTGACTATAAGCCAATATTCCGTATGTGGAGCATCGGCTGCTTTAAACTGTAGCAGTGGGATACTGCATTTTCCCTGTTAAATAGGCCTACTAACAAATAATAAATAAGCACATACAAAACTGCACAATATTTTCCAGTAATATAGTGTTTAAATCAGGAGTGTCAAGTTTTTGGTGGGTTGCATCACTCAATGTTAAGTTAAAACCCAAGCTGCGGTCACACTGGACTTTTCTCCCCATAGATTTCCATTTATATGCACACAAATGTGTCAGGAAACGCAATATTGTGCGTCAAGTTTGACAGATCGCTGCGTTGGAAAGTTAAAACTTTGTTGACTCTGCGCTTCGACAACGCATCACTTGACTGTGTGAGACCAATCGAGGATCAAAACATGACCTCTCTACAGAAATTTTAAATATGGAGCAATCGCTCACTTTTTTAATGTCTAATAATCTTGTTTAATCCGCCCCTTTTTGCAGCGCCATACGATAGAATTTCCCAAGCTCAAACTCTAGGGCAACCGCAGCTTTACCTGTAGGTTTCGTACAAGCCTGAAGGACTCTGAAATTAGTTTGAACAGGTGTGTTCAACACCTGTGGTTTAAATCAGTGGTTTCCAAAATGGGAGGGTCGCTGGACAATGACAGGTTGTCTCTGGGTGATTTCCAAAAGTCAAATAAATTTGATTAAACTATTAGAATTACCATATTTTAACCATAACCTATGTTTTAATAGTAAAAAACAACATGCAAATTAAAAGTCATTAAATTATTATTATTTTTTAATAGGATCTGTGTTTTTACTTCAGATTAACAACACAGCAATAGCGTCTGCTGCAGCAGATTGATTTTTATAGCACCAGGCAAACTTTGACACCTTATTGGCAATCAAATATACTAAAAATAAACACAGGACACAACTAAATAATGAGAATCATCTCTTTAAAATTAAACCTAGAATAGACTTGTGCTGAAGACATTGTGTCCACCAGAGTCATTAGTTGAGGTGAATATTAAATTAAACAAATTAATAAATGACTAAAAAAATGATATAGTTGTTAGACTATTGCACTTTTTTGTATTGTCAATAAAATTTTAAAATTTTAGATCATCTTTTTAAAAAAAGACCATGCCTATAAACATTGTTAATATTTTAACTTGGAGTTTTCAATTTGTTGTTATTTTTCCAATGCTTTATCTAAAGTGTTTTTGCAAAAAGAGTCACTTTGTGAAGTTCAAATAGGACAGAGTCTGTTCTGCCTCATGAATAATTAATGAACCACTAATTTAACTGCAGCAAAAATTTGAAGGTCAAATCAAATCATTACAATGATTATCATAAACGTAATGAGATATGTCTCACACAACTCAATATATTCAAATAGCACACTGCAGTCTATGCATATGAAAACTATTTCTTTTTTAATGCAAAACTGGCACTTGAACTCTCACTTCCTAGATTATCAGCTTGTCCCCTAAGGACCACAAACTCACTGATGAAAAGAACAGTAAATTTATTCAAATGCCATTTATGGTGTGTCTTTTTTTTTCATGCCTTCAGTATTCCTTCCTATTCGAAATGTGGACATCTGCTTATACTGTTTTGTTATCGTCACCATATTTCTCATGATTTGTGTGATAGAAAACAGGATCTCATCACCTTTTATTTGATTTATTCCAGATCTTTCTACATTTTGAGGCCAAAACCTCAACTTTTATCTGGGGGACAAACAATGCAAGAAAATGCCTGCAGCGGAGAAAGTCAACTGGAGAGTGTGAGTTTAGTCAAATTGTTTATAAGTATATGCATAATAGGCGCAGGAGACTTTCACAGTAATGCGGCAAAATTAAAGAAATTTAAGAATAAACAAATAGTAAATAGCTGCACTATAATATTATTAAAACTATAGATCTAAAACAATATATGTGCAGTAGGATTGGAAAGTGCTAACAGATATTGTTCAAGTATTTCGCAAATTATAATAATACATTCTTTTAAGTAAAGTGTTCAGTAAGCAAGCAGCATTAGCAGCATCCCGTAAGCAAGCAGCATAGACTATTAACCTCATTATGTGTAACTTTTTATCGATTTCACTGGTCATTATGTAAGAAGGGAGTAATTATTGGAGTCGGTTAAGAGGATTATTAATCATTGTTGGGCAACAATAGGCGGTGGAGCTCAGTGTGAATGGTTTGGATGGTACAGATTGCATAGAAAAGGATGTTTTCAATTTTATGAGTGAAGCAAACAATAATATAGTGCCAAGCATTAATAAGTGCACCCCACTGAATATTGATAGCTGTTTATAGAGCAGGTGTGCCTAAAGTTTTTCTTATAAAGGGCCAAAAAACATTTTTGAAAACTAGATTGTAAGCCTGTGGCTGCCGTCGCATCATCCAAGTGGATGCTGCACACTGGTGGTGGTGTGGAGAGACCCCCCCCCCCATGATTGTGAAGCACATTACATTACATTAAGCTGAATACATTGCAAACCCTATTACAAGAAATTTGGCAATGGGAATTTGCTAATTTATTCGATAATATAAAACAGATTAGTCCACAGATATTTAGCCCACAATTGAGTCGATTTATTTACTTGTGTAAATGTGTGTACATTTTTATATTTATTCAGTTTTTAAATTAATTTCAGTAATATTATTGACTAATAGGGAAGTGTTCATTTGATTTATTTACAATACAGTTTAAAAAAATAAAAAATGTCTGTGGATTCTGTCTGGCCCTACAGTTGACTTTTAAAATGTAAATACTGTCACTTGACAGATATAGGACATTGTACAAGTCTGATTAACATTGAATTAAATTATTTAATTATAGTTTTTTGTAACGCAGCATTAAAACAAACAAACAAACAAACAAGAGGTCATGTTAAAATCGAAATGTCAATTTCTGTCAAAGGCATTCACTCCAACCCTCTCCATTAATCTCACTCTCTTTTCAGATGAGACAGTGGGACAAATCAAAGCTTACCATGGGCCAACTTCGGCCCATAGGCTCTACTTTGCCCATCTTTGTTTTAGAGAATATATGTATTGGTGTGTTTTTACAAAACCTCTTTTATTTGTATTAATTAAAATTAAAGTGACATCTATAGGATTAGAAAAATAATACATTAAAAATCACACTGGTTAAATAAAATGAATAAAAATAAAATACAAATACCTAACATATTCATTGGAGTGTATTAATCAGTGTTAATTTCATCAACAATAATGGCTTGACACAAACTTGACAGGTCTGCTGCGCCAGTAACATGACTGAATGCGCACACTCTGATCTTTTCAATTAATAATGCAATGCAGTGGATTAGAATAAAATTAATGTAAATTTTTATCTTTATGCTTATAATTTAGTCTCGTCTTTTTTCCTCAACAATAATTTGATGTTCTTTTGAGAGGGGTCTGACTGCAGTCCAGGTGCACATGCAAGCTGAGACTGTAAACAATTATTTTAATTGCATACAGTCTATTTTAAACACCTAACCCCGCCCCTAACCCTACCCATTACAGTGATATCGCCAACTCTATTGAATTCATGTGTCTAAGACTGCATGTCTGAGAGACTATTGCAGCGGTGCCCAGATTTGTGTCCGCCTTTGATTTGGCCCACCATCCCATCTGAGAAGAGAGGGAGATTGATGGAGATGGGTTAGAGATTATCATTTCAAATTTGATGTACCCTTTTATTAGTTTGTTTTGTTGTTAAGCGACAAATAAGCTAACTGAAATGAAACATTTCAATTTAAATGGTTCCTCAACGGATAGAGGACAATGCAGAGACTTTGGTGAGCGAATCAAGGCAAAGCCACTTGCTGCTTGACTAGTTCATATAGTAGTGAACTACACTGTTATAATTGTAATTGTTTCTATTGCAGTATGTTATAATTAAAGTTTTACTGCATTAGTTAACAATCCAAAGTAATGCTTTCAATCTATTTATAAATATTATGAATTGAATTAGAAAATTACGCATGGCAACTTTAATGTAATATAGTTTGGTATATTTATTTGCTCCCCACGACTCTCAATGATATTTAGATTTTGACCCTTGATATGAAAAAGTTTGGGCACCCCTGGATTATTAGAAGTTTGCAGCCAGATACTATTGGCTTTTTTGAGATGAGCTGCTCAGAACACTCATTTATAGTTTTAGTCATGTTACTAGTGCTGATGACTGATCAAGTCACTTATTTGCTTTTATTTTCTTTGACAACATTAACACAGATACTTATACTTTTAATATTTTGTTAAACTAGTTCCAGCCATTAATATTGACTAATCTGATGTAAAACCAGTAAACCAGATGTGCAAAACTATCTCATTTTTTACACTACAGGGCTGTTTAATACTTGATTCTGATTGGCTGATGAACATTAGGGCGTGCAATTATTTTCAGAAGTAGTGCCAGCCAAATCTTAACTGCATTACTGCTCTATATCACTACGCCAAATAATTCAGTTATTTCACTGCTACAACAGTTGAAAATCAAATCAAAGACTTTTGATGAGATGTGTAAGAAGCTAGTACTACACACAGGAGATTTTTGAGGACAAGAACCTGTTAATTGTATGAAAAACATCATTTGAATAGCTGCTTTAGCTGTGGTAACCATAGTATAAGCGGAATAATTCACTCTGGTCGATTAAATTGTTTGAAAATAATTCATTCCCATCTGTGATGCATCACCAACTCGGGTGCGCTTTATTTTCGGAAATAATTCAATGGCCCATCTTCTTTATTGTCTTCTGCATTGAATGTATTAATGTAAAAGGGAGATGGATTTTTTTCTGAGCAATCCATTATTGTGTACACATTTATTCTGGGAACTATAAGCATTGATATTTCAAATTTACTCATCTAAAAATACTGTATATTTAAGTGTGCAGAAATACTTGAAATCTTGCCTACAGAAGGGTTTGTGACTCGTTTTTTTTTTTTAAGCATTACCTTGTAAAAGGTTACACAATGTGGTGTATTCACTGGTACTTACAAACAGGTTGGTGGCAGTGATTAATGGTCTGAGCTGTGAACGTGTGGTGGTCCAATACTGAATCCTCAGAGGCAGTGACCCATAGACTGCAGGGTTTGCTCTGCTACTCTATTGCCTTTGTGTCCTTTTTTGCCACTTGTTCTATGGGTCAAAGATGAAAAGGTGTTTTCAAGGATCAAAACAGATAAAAAAAAACAAGACAAGTTCTGATGTACAAAAAATCTAAGTTCACATATATATTTCATTTTTTTGATGATATTTTAGGTATTGGTCGGGTAGTAAGTATAGTCAAAAAATTTAGGACTAACGAATAAGATGAATGTATTGTGATTGTATATAAAATGTCCTTTCATTTGGATTACATACTTTAACATAATTAAACAATAAAATAAATAATTGAATAATAAACATAATGTGATTTGACATTTGTTAAAACAGCATATATAAGTACACCTCTTTAATTCATATTTTAAATAGGAAGCTACAATATTATGTTTGTGCCTATTAGATTAGTCAGTACTGAAGCCAAATCTGGAGCTTATCTAACAAAATAACTTAGGATAACAGTCCAAAAACTAGTACACCCAAAGTTAAATGTTATAGAAAAAATTAAACCGAAATATAAAGTGGAGGGAAAATCAAGAGAAGTCAAAAAATCAAAACATTTAGTTAAAATTTTGTAGGTTGTAATTTTTTTTACTTGAATTTAATTGTATTATCTCTCAATTTCTAAATATGTTCAGTGACTAAAATATTATTTTAATAAATATATCTGTTTAATATATATATATTTTAAATGCACCGTAATACATTGCCATAGAGAAAAGGATACAAATATTTATTTTCAAAATGGGCTGTACTCAATTATGCTGAGAACTGTGTATTTATATATGTACATATATGTATATACAGTTGAAGTCAGAATTATTAGCCTCCCTGAATTATTCGCCCCCGTTTAATTTTTTCTCAAATTTCTGTTTAACAGAGAGAAGTTTTCAACACGTATCTAAACATAATAGTTTTAATAAGTCATTTCTAATAACTGATCTATTTTATCTTTGCCATGATGACAGTAAATAATATTTGACAAGATATTTTTCAAGACACTTCTATACAGCTTAAGGTGACATTTAAAGGCTTTACTAAGTTAATGGTAATTAGGCAAGGTGTTGTATTATGATGCTTTGTTCTGTAGACTATTGAAAAAAAATAGCTTAAAGGGGCTTATAATTTTGTCCCTAAAATGTTTTTAATAAAATGTAAAACTGCTTTTACTCTAGCCGAAATAAAACAAATAAGACTTTCTCTAGAAGAAAAAAAATATTATCAGACATACTGTGAAAAAGGCCTTGCTCTGTTAAACATCATTTAGGAAATATTTAAAAAAAGAAAAACAAATGCAAAGGGTGGCTAATAATTCTGAATTCAACTGTATGTATTCATGAGGGCCCTATGCCCTCCAGCTCCAGGGTCTCTGACCCCAGCGGGCTGCCCCAGCGAACTGCCACTCTTCCTGGGCTTGCAGTTTGGTTTTAATTGATTTTAATATATATTGGTTTTAATATATATATATATTGATTTCTTTTCATTCATAATCTGATTTAAATCTAATAGTATTCGATTTAGATTGATTCTAAGGAATCTGAATACATTTAAAAAAAAAAAAACACCAAAATAAATAATTCAAAAGGTTACAAACATTTAATGAAAAACTTCATTGTGGTTACTTTTTACAGTGTACTAATAAGCATTAAAAATATCATACTG